CCGCCTTGCGCAGCTTTAGAAAGGAGAGAATTTCAGAAAGTCATTCTCTCCAACCTTTTCTATCTATCTTTAGAAGTAGGGCGAGAGAAAGTCAATATGATATTTGCGTTGGTTTTTCCAACGAAACTAAGCACTTTTCTTCTTTCTCATTCGGAAGGCTCAGTCCCACACCCTGACTTCAATGATGGGAACAACCTCCGCACTCCGGCGCTCCACTGATTTCCAGCATCAAACAGAAATTAGTCGGCTAGTAGCAATTCCTCAGAGAGGTTGACAATGTTGTCAATGTTTGAAATATCAAGCAAGTTACACAACCTGACTTGGAATTGGTATCCACAGATGAGGTATTTGAGATGAATGTGTTTGACATATACTCATTTTACAATTTCTTTTCTCTTTTCCAGACCGAGGAAGATAACGTGGTCATTTCTTAATTTCAAGCTCGGGGTCGGGACAATCTTTCTCCAACAGTGGCAATAAGTTGTAGTTGTTGCTTATTATTGATATTTTAAGGCTTTTGGTAGATGAACTGGAGCAAGTTTTCAAAGAAGAAAGCAAAAAGAAACTCCTCAACAGGGCCGAATGTCTCTTTATCCAAGAGGTCTTTCTGTTAGTTACACTTGTCCCCTGTAGTTGCACTCTGAACTGAAAGTTCGATGGTATTTTGACAAGCTGTGGTATCTATCTTTTTTTTTTGGTCCAAAAGAAACTAGTTATATTAAGATAAAGAGTGCGTAGTACAAGGAGCTAAAGTTGACATTGGCACAGGACACGGCGGACCTGCATAAGTAACAGAATTACATGGACGACCTCGCTGTGGGTCGTGACAAAAGGAGGGGAGGGGGTTTGAGCTAGAACTAGCTAAATCCCCGAGAGGGGGTTACAAAAAGAGGCGTCTTCGTGTTACATACAGTAACATGTACAATGTGTCTAAAAAAAAACATTCCTAGTTTGTCTTCTTCCAAAGCTGTTTGTACTGAAGTTGGCGGGTGTGTGAAAGTAGTGAAGTCCGCAAAGTTGTCCAAAGTGCAACCAAAATTTGCAAGTATATCAGTCACCCGGTTTTGCACCCTGTACGTGTGTAGTACGATCGGACCATCCAGTTGTCGAAGAAGGTACTTGCATTCCATGATAATATTGTTAAATAAGGGGTGGGAGTTGGTTAGGAGAGGGAGTATTGTTTGAGCATCTATGTTGACTACGAGAGGCTTAAATCCATGAAGAAAGACGATTTTTAGTCCTTATAAGTCTAAGAAGCTTTGTGTAAAGGGATTTTTACCTATCTATACCGNGCAAGCCTTTTTTGGTCCTAGCTGTAGCTTAGATAAAAAAAAAATTCTATTTATGTAAATCTTTGTTTGGATATTCAAGTTACAGCAAAACAAACGATTTATGCATGTCGTCGCTGTCTGGAGAGTCTGAGGCTAATATCAGCCTTCTTTACTTTAATGTTGTCAAAGTATGACACATCACAGCAGATCTCACCACCTGAAAGATTTGGGCAGGGAAAGTGATAAAACCCCATCGGTGAAGACTTATTTTAGAAGAAAGCGTGAAAGAGGAGATCAAGATTTGGGCAGCCTTGAACAAGTCTAACTTCTTCAATACGTAGCTACCATTCCTGCCCGCTATCAGATCAGACATTACAGTTTTCTTAGTTATTTGTCGTAAAAAGTATGTATCCTATAAATATCTAGTTAGGATTGGTTTTTGGGGCATCAAATGTATGTTTGAATATTTGTATCTGGGAGTTTTATCCACTCCACGGGGACAGATTAATTGGCTGTAAATTTTGTTTAAGATTCTTGCTAGAATTTTCCTTCTATTCATAGTCACTTCCATGAAAATCAAAGAAGCACTTCTTGTAACCAAAACAAAAACCCCATGGATCAGCAAAGTGTCCCAAGGTAAGGAATAACCAGTTACGCCAAAAGATGCGGTTAATACAGCCAGAACCACACCTGTAACCCAAGTCAATTCGCGAGNCGGTGAACCACGCGAGCTGGTTAGATGCGTGGGACAGAGGGCTCGTAGTACCTGCTAGCGCGGCTACGCAGTGGAAGGGAAGGAGCCTAAATCGACCCCCCTCTTTTTTTCTTTGAAAAAAGCAGTAAGGAGTAAGGAGATTAAACTCTCGGATGAGACTAAGCAGCTACCGACCGTTCCGACGCGCCCTTGACCTATTTTGATTAAGACCAAAAACCTATCTCTAAAGTGGAGCCTAGTTTAAGCTGTCAAACAAGTGATGATTGAATGAAAGAAAAACCACTAGTAGGGATATGGATGGAGTCTCGCTCAGTAAAGAGAGTTGTAGGATTCGTAAAACAGGAGAAGAGCCTTTACTTTCAAATGACAACTGACCTTCCTGAATAGGTAGGCACATAGTATCAAAAAATATCCAGTGAAGCTTTCTTTTGTCTTCATCACCCTGCAGCAGTTTCTGGGAGATGTACTTTCTACCATTATCTGACTTAAGCAGCGGACTTGCTTGACCTATTGAAATGCCAGTATAGACTTCTGGCACATGGTCGGCTAGCTAAAGGTCAGCTTCGGATGCGAAGCTGTTCATTTATCCAGTTGAGACTGCAACAATTTCTTTTGCGGGAACCGAAACAAGAGCTTGAACAGGAGCTGCTGTCG